AATCGTGACTTTCGTCGTTTCGCCGAGCCTGCCAAGGCGTGCACAGCGTAACCCGCTTGAATTTATAATGCCAACGATCAAACACGTAGCAATACCGTGAATCGTAATAGCGATATCCGCGAGTTAACGCTTCTATCGCGATACGACGCTCCACTTCGTTCCTTCCAACCTCATGATCGGGAGAAAGTCGGATTTTCGGTTTCGTCATTGGCCAACAGCGATCCAGGGACTACGTATCGTAGGTAACTACTCCTACGGGACTTGTAAAACAATACTGCTTTTCTCCGGTGAGCTCCACGAGTCATCGTTCCTTATGGACCACGGTAGAACGAAATCAGACGCGAGTCCGTGCGGTACGACTTATCTGGAGGCGAATAACGGATGTCGCAATATCTACGAGCACGCGGTGCGATTCATATAAATTATCTGGTCTGACGTGATTTCAGTCGGGTCGTTGCGCGTTTCGTTACACGTCCATTTAACGCGAAGATTTGTCTCTCACGATGAAACCGAGCCTGCAAGTCGCGCCACTTTTTTCTCTTCTCATCTCAAAATAAACCCGAAACGTGCACGTTCTCTCCCAGGCTACTTCTTTATGCATACGTTTCCAGGCTCTCGTAATAGGATCAGTCGCGAAAACAACAAGGGGGAAAAAAGCTGACGAACGATAATTACAGTTCGACGTTATTGCCTGATCGAGTATACAATTATCGGGCGGATAATCGGCAGTTGGCCGATTGAAAAAACTCAAAATTCTACGCTCTTAAGGAGCCTAGGAATTGTCCCTTATTATACAGTTCTTGTTATTACCGTCGCATCGTTTTAGCAATTGAGCTCGGATAAAAGACCACTTTATATCGTGTGCTGTCGTATAACGAGCACCATTACGGAATCATCTCCAGTCGGATCGTAGGCTCCCCGACTTTCTCTCTCTTTCTCTCTCTCTCTTACGCTTGCTCTTTCTCTTCGTTCCACTCCAGAAAAGTGCATTGTCTCTGTCATTAAATTACGCTACGCTAATGACCGCCCGTCCAGCACTGTAATTTATGTAACTGCAGCCGGTTACGTCACGCGGTGATTTGCGAACGGTGATGATAGGATCGGCGCGGAATCGAAGCGGAGGGGAACGTTGGAAGTAGTATTACCCCGAGCTGGTTCAGACGCGATCGAAATACTCCGGATGATCCCCTTTCTCCGTGTAGATACGCTTCTTATTGGCGTATCGCGATACGATGTGATACGCGAACACCGCGTATCGTATATTATTATCCGCGTATTCCATTTCTATGTATATTTGCTGTACATGCACGTACCGAGCCGTACATCTGCGGGAGAAGACGTTTCGAACGCACGAAAATTGTACATGGAAGAATACGTATTCGCGGTAGCATCGCGTTCCGTAAATGATATTCTTCGTGTTGACCAACATGAACAAACTATTATTCACGTAAGATTTTCTATTCTTCTCGGCTCGTCGAGTTTCATTAATTAACGTTGGACTCGGTATCGTACGCTTGGCTGGCTAAGACGCGGCCTTAGCTACTGCTGTTTACTCTGTTTAATATCTTCGAAGAGAACGGCTGATTGGATCAAAATGGAACAGGCGGATGATTAATTTCAGCCGACTCTCTTTTCAACGGCGAAGCAATTAACGCCGACGCTAATTAATCGTGCAATGGTCCGGCTGTGTGACGTGGCTTTCGAAAATATCGACGGTATCGAAATCAGGTCGTAACTCGATTACGGGGAAAGATTCGTTATCGCGCGACCTGCTGTAAAACGGAACGATCATGGCACGCTTCGATTTTCTGTTTTATAGGATCAGCCCCTATGGCCCTGTTCCTGTTTTTCCTCTCTATGTATCTACATGCACGCGATAATACGTATGTATGACTATGCTAAACACGACTTTCCCTTTTTGCACTTTTATCCCGTGATAAAGTGGCGTAGACTGTGGCGCGCGCTTTCGATCGATCTACTCCGAGAAACGGAGAATGAACGAGGAATGGTGGAAGAAGAGGAAGAACAAGACGAACTCGGCTAGAAGAGCGATAGAGAAGAACGAGAGATATTACTTTTGCTCGTTATCGGTTAATTGGAATCACAAGATTCCCGATCGTTTCTGAGAAGCCAGACTTCGCTAGTTGCCTCTCCGTCGCTCTTCCGCTCTCTCTTTGTACGCGGCTTATCCCCGCGACTTACATTCGTGCGGAAACAGTCAAACGCGGAAGATGCAATTACCGTGCCAGTAACAAACTCGTTTGGCACGGTAACTGCAGCGCCGTGTTTAAATTGCAATCGTGTATCAGCGCGATAAAGACATTCGCGAACGGATTTCCCTCGGTTTTTAACCGTCGCATCGATACCGCAAGAGAGGAACAAGTCTGTATTTAATTCGAATCCCGAACCGTGTCGTTGATTTATAAGGTCGCGTCGATCTCGCGGCCAGATTGGGCACTAATATACGAGAAGCAGAAACCATTCGATAACGAAGCCGAACCAACTATTATCGTTTTTGTTCTGCTTCTCCTTCCTCCTATTCCCTTCGACCCTATTCTCTCCTCTTCTTTTTTTTTTCTCATCGTCCACGAGAAATCCGCAAAGACAATGGGATCTCTGGTCCACAAAAACCGATATTTCCGTCGTCGGAACGATTGTACGCGGCTTAACGATCGACCCGGAAAAGGAAATTTCATCTTCTCACGAAGTGCACCCTTTTTATTTCTCTTCTCCTTCGTTTTTCGTTACCCAGCCACTCTTTTCCGTGGCTTCGTCCCTTCCCCTAGCTCTTTTATTCCTCGCCTTCTTATTTACAGCGGCAAATAACTCCTTTTGCGACGTAATATCGTTACGGTTATGTAGTTTCGCCGATACGCCGGTTCTTTATTCTATTCCAGGGGATTCCCTCCCTTCGTTGTATGCTCGCCACGTTTCCCTTCTCCTCGCAATCTTTTCCTCTGCCGCGTCTGGTTGTCTCTCTGCCTCTCTTCGTCTGCCTATATTTTCAGCTATCATCCGAGACAGCCTATTCCTTTCCTTGGCACGAAGACAGAAAACAGTCTCCGTCGCGAGATTCAACCGATATTCAGCTGTACCGGCCGAAATTGAACGATTTGTCGTATAAACGTCTTTGAGCCGATTCACAGCGCGCAACGCCATTGATAAATCCGGACGTCTATCCGCGGAATCGCCGCGCCGTCACCGGACGCGCTCGTGCGGAGTTAATCTTCCAAAGAGTCTGCGGGAATAGGAAAGAAAGCCGCGGAAAGCTCGAAACATCCTGGAAAAACCTACCAACTCGAAAATCTCTCGCGCCCGGCCAACACGATCCCATCACACGGAGAAACTTTCCCCGTTCTTCCCCTCGGTCTGATCATCGTAGTTAAGCTGCGTTGGCCGCGATCCTCGCTCCTATCTACCAACTACATGCACGTGGAAGACCATCGGTACTTTCAGAGTCTACCTAAACCTCCACATATCCCAGACTATATGATAGTATATGTACTGTACCCGATGCGGATTTAACTCGAAGAACTGGAAGAAAAAAAAAGGAAGAAAGGTATGTACGTATATCTGGTGGTGCCAAGTCAGCTCACCTAAAGACCAACGTCGGTAAGAGCGACCTTTAAAGAAAATCCTCATTAGAGAAGCTTCTGCAACGAAAGTAGCAAGCCTGGACGCTGCAAAAAGCGTCTAATTAATTATTTGCGTTTTCCGTCGAAACGACAACGATAAGGAGCAACATCGCCGCGTAATTGCCTACCGACGAAAGTAGCGATAAAGACAATGGGTCCGCGCGTCTCCGTCTTGTAATTGAACCCTTCCAACTTCGCCGGGAAAGTGTACGACAGCTGGATGCGCGCTTTAATCGCGACTAACGTAACCTTACCGGGTGTCTCAGTCGCAGCCCGTAACGACGATTTACGGGTTAACGAGTTCACACTTCTCGAATTTCCTGGATGTTCGCATGATTCTTCCCCACCTATCCTACCAAGTATTCGATTCAGCAGCCTCCTTTCTCGGTAGGGTATTCGCGGTACCCTTCGCATACCATCGCTCTTCGCCGTGCCTTCAGCTAACCAACGAAAGTTCGCCCCTTACATTATCGTCGCGGCAG